TCAATATTAAAGATTCATATGTATGTGTCTATATATATAAGGGAAAACCATTTGTGGGACCAAACGGCAATTGTGTGAGTGTCCTTTTGAATTCCTGATTATTCCCTGATTCCCAGCTCTTTACAAATGTTCCCCCCATGGAAAGGATGCTGGCAGTGTCCCAAAGAAAAAACAGAATCATAATCTGGTACTAGGCAAGGAGTTGTGCAAAGCCAAACTCGGAAAGGATAGTAGTGCATTTTCTGGAATAAATACTCCGTGTATGCGTTGCCGTGAGTAGCTTTGAGTATCTTCAAGGCAACACAAAGAAAATTCCCCTCACCTGAAATCCCTAGGGGTTGGCGAACGGTTTCCAAGGAATGCCATTTGTTCGGGGACCTACAGCTACGGCTCCAATGCAACTCTCGCTCTCTCTCTCTCTCTCTCTACGATGTGTCCATTCGCAGACATTGTCGTCGGCTCTTTGCAACGGACATCCGCTTGCAACTTAAGGTCAATATGTTATGCAGTGAAACTGGGCATCACAGTGTGGTGACAATTGCCGCCTTGAAATATGCGTAGTACGAATGGTGTTGTGTCAGTCTGATTTGAACGTCTATGTGTCCCACTTTGTTTGTTAGCGTTGTACTTGCTTTGTTGGCCGAGCATGGCTTCAGTATGAGCTTGGCATTGTTTCTGTTGTCTGTGTCGCATTTAATTGTGTGGCATCTATCAGGATTATTCAGAAAAATGAAATGGGCAAGAAATAAGGGCAACAAGCAAAGCATAGTAGTATCATGGTGAGGCCTGCTACTTGCACCAAGGCCAAACACGCCTTGGTGCAACAGCACACCAACTTGTCTATATGAAAGTATCTGTGGAGAGGCAATCGGCATGGGGTACATTGACTTTCTTTTTGGGACATAGCAAACGAAGACATCATGCCGCGATGATGTCAGGGTTTCAGTCAAACTGAACTGTGGGTTACTATTCTCGGCCATTGATTGATCGGTGCTCTTTTCTGTCATCTTGTCGCTGGTATGGTAGATGATATTTAGTCATAGATAACTTTCTGAAATCATCACTTCATTCGCCGCGCGGGGGACCGGGGAGGAGGGGGGAGATGAGATGAGGCTGAAGTCTTGTACAAAAGGTCACAACCCTCCCGCTAACCTGAGATAGGTGTGTCGTCCAAATGCGCAATGAGCAGCTCATGCGTGCAATCACACCTGCCAACAGCGGGGTCTTGTTCACATGTCACCTTAAGGAAGTTCCTTCAAAAAGCGCGTCAGGCGTGTGGTTTGGCGGGTAGCGCTTCAATTCACGGCGATTTGAGCTGTGCCCGTGCGCACCGTGCGACACGATTACGAGTCGGTCCTCGGGATCCCTCAAGTCGGATTGCCTCATTCTTGGTACTTCTTTCGCTGCACCCAAAGCTTTGTACTCCTGACATGGACAAAAAATGCATCCAAAACCCGTGCGCTTCAACCAATCCTCAAGGCTTGCACGCAGCGAATCCTCGGCACACAGCCCTGGCCAGCTGTCTTGCTGGTGGTCTTCAACAGCCTCCGGCGCATGTGAGTGCGCGCATGCTCCAGGCAGGCCCGCCTGTCCACCTGGCCTAATCGCTTCCCACCCTCCCCTAGTCTTCATGAAACTTCATCCTACGAGGTGCGAACAAGGCTTCCATGCCGTGCGGGCGGCCGAGCAGATTGCTGTGTTGCTGTGTCTGTGTCGGTGTCTGGCTCCCTCTCCGCTCTCTCGCTCCCTCGCTCAGCCCGCACCCGGTCTGAGAACCATCCTTCTTCACCTTAGCAAGCGAGCATGTTGGACCACCCGTAACTGCCACGGCATTTCGAAGGCGCCGGCTTGGTTGACCTTGCTGTAGCACCTGGCCGGGTCAAGCATTGCAGCGCAATGTCAACCTCGAAAATCATGCAACCCTGAAAGGCCGGACCAGCACGAACAGGTCCAAAACCGTGTGTGTGTGTGTGTGTGTGTGTGTGTGTGTGTGTGTGTGTGTGTGTGTGTGTGTGTGTGTGTGTGTGTGTGTGTGTGTGTGTGTGTGTGTGTGTGTGTGTGTGTGTGTGTGTGTGTGTGTGTGTGTGTGTGTGTGTGTGTGTGTGTGTGTGTGTGTGTGTGTGTGTGTGTGTGTGTGTGTGTGTGTGTGTGTGTGTGTGTGTGTGTGTGTGTGTGTGTGTGTGTGTGTGTGTGTGTGTGTGTGTGTGTGTGTGTGTGTGTGTGTGTGTGTGTGTGTGTGTGTGTGTGTGTGTGTGTGTGTGTGTGTGTGTGTGTGTGTGTGTGTGTGTGTGTGTGTGTGTGTGTGTGTGTGTGTGTGTGTGTGTGTGTGTGTGTGTGTGTGTGTGTGTGTGTGTGTGTGTGTGTGTGTGTGTGTGTGTGTGTGTGTGTGTGTGTGTGTGTGTGTGTGTGTGTGTGTGTGTGTGTGTGTGTGTGTGTGTGTGTGTGTGTGTGTGTGTGTGTGTGTGTGTGTGTGTGTGTGTGTGTGTGTGTGTGTGTGTGTGTGTGTGTGTGTGTGTGTGTGTGTGTGTGTGTGTGTGTGTGTGTGTGTGTGTGTGTGTGTGTGTGTGTGTGTGTGTGTGTGTGTGTGTGTGTGTGTGTGTGTGTGTGTGTGTGTGTGTGTGTGTGTGTGTGTGTGTGTGTGTGTGTGTGTGTGTGTGTGTGTGTGTGTGTGTGTGTGTGTGTGTGTGTGTGTGTGTGTGTGTGTGTGTGTGTGTGTGTGTGTGTGTGTGTGTGTGTGTGTGTGTGTGTGTGTGTGTGTGTGTGTGTGTGTGTGTGTGTGTGTGTGTGTGTGTGTGTGTGTGTGTGTGTGTGTGTGTGTGTGTGTGTGTGTGTGTGTGTGTGTGTGTGTGTGTGTGTGTGTGTGTGTGTGTGTGTGTGTGTGTGTGTGTGTGTGTGTGTGTGTGTGTGTGTGTGTGTGTTCTGTTCTTTTTGCTTGTGTTGACATTACTTGACTAGGGATTGCAAGGGTCTCACAAATCTTGCCACAGTAAATTGAAGTTTCAACGTGGCTCATATTGACCTGGGAACAGGAAATCGTTGATTGGCACAGCCTTTGTAATACTAACAGTTTGAAGCGGGGAACGTCAGGCGTTCTCAAATCGCCCAGAAAACTGCAACTTGTTGTATGTTTCTCTTGCTTGGAATAGGCAGCTGGTCGCCCAACCCCATGATGCGTCCGAAAGTTCATATTATGTTGATTCTATGCAGTCGCACCGGTTTCGTCCTTCTTTGGTTGGCCGTTTGGGTGTTCTGGTCGGTGAGGATCAGTTGGCTACGTCGCCCCAGGGTCCGCCGTGGTCTGGGGACCAGGGTTTTCTCTAGAAAACGGTTTGGATGCGCGATTTCACCTTGTCTCCTTGTTGGGCCTTTTTTAGTACTCTTTTAGTACTCGTTTAATATGCTACACTGGTGGATGCACAAAAGCCACATCCAAACCGTTGTCTAGATTCTTTTTGTAGCGAAAACAAAGCCAGGTCTGCACAAACTGATGGCGTTCGCCCTTGCGCCTTCCGTCCATAGGCCCAACCGGTGCGGCAGTCGTGCTTAATGACCATCACCTCGTCCTCGTTTCGGTCAGAGCCGAAACGCCATCTGGGGAATGGATCAAAATTAAACCGCCAGGATATGGACCGCAGGTTTAGTTCTTGCTTCCATTTACCAGGATTCCATTTGGGGTACCTATGTTTGACCCACACCCATCTCAAGGAACTGCAGCTTTTCAAATGAGAATGTTCAGAGCAGATTTGCTAGTTTTGCTGGGAAACGGTGTCTCACCAACGGTGTCTCACCTCGTGAACCAAAACCGTTCCGTATCACATTGGAAAAGGGGATGGACTGATTAAGGCGCTGTTGAATTCTGCAATGACGGACGTAAACCACCAAACTGCCACAACAGTGGCTGCAATTTTCCTGCAGTCCCATAAAAATGTGGTAAATCCGTTTCCCTGCCACAGCCTCCTGCTGCACCTTCAAAATCCGCTCTTCCCCGAAGTGATCGTCTGCCAGGGCTCAAGTCGTCAGAGCTCTCTATTTCTGAAGCTCAAGCGATCACTTCCTGGAGCTCCGGAACTTGATCTTTGTCGGAACTCAAGTTGGTCATTGACTCTCTGCCAACTAGATGAAGGAAGGCATGATGGCTGTCTCTACCCTATATCTCTCCCTCCCTCTCATCTTGAAGCCTCTTCAATCAGCAAAGTGACGACCAGGGGAAGAAGAAAAAAACCCTCGGGTCTGTCAGGATGCCTCTGGCTAGCACAAATCTGTCCGGCCGGTGAGTGCTGGCTTCCGGGACTCGGGGACTCGGGGGCTCGGGGACTCGGGTGACTTGACGCTCCGCGCACCCCGGGCCTGTGGGCCAACTTCGGAGGATCCTGTACGTTTGGAGCGCCTGCGCCGTCGAAGGAGCAGGTTGACTCGAGGCCAAGCCTGGATTCATTTGGCTGTGGCTCAAAATGAAGGAGCCAGGGCAAACCGCCGGTTTTTGTCTTTGGTCCCATTTCCAAGGGGACCATTTTGGTACATATTTTTGAGCCACAGCCGTGTGAGCCACATGCACGCACGATACAGCGCCCAGTTCACAGCGACAGGCCCGCGAGCGAGCTCACAGCGATCCAGCTGCCCACTTCTCAGCGACCATCTTGCGCATTTTTTGCGCCAACCTCTGGAGTGGTCAACTGAGAAAGGCTCGAAAGCCATGCCAGTCAGCATGCTCCAGGGAAGCTCAAGACTGACTGGCGGATTAGCGGTGGCATTGTTGGTGTTCTTGCTATCTTTTGAAAACATCTCCGATTAGTCGATCAAGTGGTGTACACATTGGCGTGCAATGCTCCCCATACAAGTGGGGGAACCCCAAGCAGGCTTTGAGGCTTACAAAAAAACAAGGGTTTTCCACAAAAGGTTTGGAGGGTTTGAGGCTTGCAAAAGCACGGGTTTTCCACACACAAAAAAATCGGCGCCGCGACTCGCGCCGGCGCTTCTGACGTGGGGAATCCACCGCTCGCCTGGCGCACCACGGAGCTCATGGCATCCGGGAGCTGGCCGAAGGTGGCGGGGAGGGGCAAGCACAAGGTCCTGGCGCCGGATCTTTGGATCTGAAGGAAACCAAACGGGGCGGTGACAACTGCCATAGCTTTTTAGAGACCGCCCCCCACCAAAAAGTGGGTGGGCCACCGTCCGGTGTCCCTTTGGTTGTCCTTGAACCAAGAGTTTGGGGCAAGCTCAAAAAAAACACGGCTGAAGGCAAGTTGGGAACATCAGGGGAGTCACCGAACCTCAAATCTCGGAAGAAAGTCTCGAGTCTATCACCAAGACAAGAACCCCCTTAGAGGGCATCCATGCAGAACAATCGAATTCCGGCCGGTTTCTGTGGGAGTCCGGTGTATGTTCCTTGCAAATTGGCTTCGGCCCGCGGTGAAACCCTGAAAAGTGCGCCGCCGCACCCGTGGTCAATGTTCTTGTGCTGCATCAGCTGAAAGACCTGGATTGGTGTGCAAAGCTTTCAGTCAAAGGCTGAATATATATATATATATATACATATATATCACATATGAACCCCTGGGATGGACCCCTAGTTTATGGTTGAATTAATCTTTAGTTCTGGCTTAATTCTTGGAAATCAGTGGGTTTTGTTTGGGGGGGTCCCACATGGCTCTGGGTTCATCAAAAGGATCACGCCCTCTTTGATTCAGGGGCTTCCTTTGCCATGAGAACCATCGCTCGGCTCGGCACGATGTCCGGCAGCAGAACGAAGGGACCATCCTCGGGTGGAAAAAAAAATCCGCGGCTCTTCTTGGTGCGATAAGGGAAGGAGAAATGGAATGAACCGTTTTGGGATTCCCAAATAAAGGAAACCACCCAGTTGGATGGTTTATGGGGGGTAATTCGTCATTCCCACATCCCTGCCTATCGCACCAGCAAGTGTCAAAAAAAGGCAGTTCCTCGTGCATATGGGACATTTACTGAGTTTCCAGGGGTTCTTTGTGGACAATTTTGTAGATATTGGGACCGAACCTCAATGGAGTCATCGCAGATTCAGGACTTCATAAGCAGAACAATGAACTTAAGCCTTTCAAGGAAGCCAAGCCCACGGCGGAATAGGCCATTTGCGGCCTGGCGTCACTTTGACTTTCGATCGGATTGCCTGGCCTCCAAAGATTCCAACTCATCTCGACTTTCTGAAGGGAAAATGAATGCTGGTCACTTCAGCTCAACATGGAGTGTTTACTTGTCGGTTCGTTGTCTTAAGATAGCGAGAAGGGACGAGATCATGCCATCACTGAAGTGCGGCAATCCTAAGCTGGAAGAATAAGGGGCCAGCTGTGCCGGCCCTTTGAACCCACCATCAAACCATGGGGTCGATGTTTTTTGGCAGGTACCTCAAAGGCTGGTTGGTTTAAAGGGACAGCAAAGGGGAAACTCCTTCATCTCCAGCTCCCTATGTTTGCCCTTAAAACATCACCCCCACCAAGGGATACTCACCTTTCGTGGGCCGAAACCGTGCTGTTTAAAACCAGGGAAATATAGGGACCAAAATAAAAACAAGCATTCAGGGTCACCTTTGAGACCCACCCTGCAGAACAAATCACTGCCGAGCCCAGATCCCCCGCCTGGGCTGCCAGCCAGAAGTCTTCGGCAGCTCCTGTTGTCATTCGTGCCCGTTGGTCAATAAAAACGAAGGATGTCCTTCTGGCTTCCTTTTGGATTCCACTTGGTGTCCTTTTGGTTTCCACTTGGTGTCCTTTTGGTTTCCACTTGGTGTCCTTTTGGTTCCACTTGGTGTCCTTTTGGTTTTGACTTGGTGTCCTTTTGGGTTTCCACTTGGTGTCCTTTTGGTTTCCACTTGGTGTCCGTTTGGTTTCCACTTGGTGTCCTTTTGGCTTCCACTTGGTGTCCTTTTGGTTTCCACTTGGTGTCCTTTTGGTTTCCACTTGGTGTCCTTTTGGTTTCCACTTGGTGTCCTTTTGGTTTCCACTTGGTGTCCTTTTGGTTTCCACTTGGTGTCCTTTTGGTTTCCACTTGGTGTCCTTGGTGTCCTTTTGGTTTCCACTTGGTGTCCTTTTGGTTTCCACTTGGTGTCCTTTTGGTTTCCACTTGGTGTCCTTTTGGTTTCCACTTGGTGTCCTTTTGGTTTCCACTTGGTGTCCTTTTGGTGTCCACTTGGTGTCCTTTTGGATTCCACTTGGTGTCCTTTTGGGTGTCCATTGGTGTCCACTTGGTGTTTTGGTTTCCACTTGGTGTTTCCACTTGGTGTCCTTTTGGTTTCCACTTGGTGTCCTTTTGGTTTCCACTTGGTGTCCTTTTGGTTTCCACTTGGTGTCCTTTTGGTTTCCACTTGGTGTCCTTTTGGTTTCCACTTGGTGTCCTTTTGGTTTCCACTTGGTGTCCTTTTGGTTTCCACTTGGTGTCCTTTTGGTTTCCACTCCACTTGGTGTCTTTTGGTTTCCACTTGGTGTTTTGGTTTCCACTTGGTGTCCTTTTGGTTTCCACTTGGTGTCCTTTTGGTTTCCACTTGGTGTCCTTTTGGTTTCCACTTGGTGTCCTTTTGGCTTCCACTTGGTGTCCTTTTGGTTTCCACTTGGTGGTGTCCACGTTTTGGTTTCCACTTGGTGTCCTTTCGGTTTCCACTTGGTGTCCTTTTGGTTTCCACTTGGTGTCCTTTTGGTTTCCACTTGGTGTCCTTTTGGTTTTCACTTGGTGTCCTTTTGGTTTCCACTTGGTGTCCTTTTCATTTCCACTTGGTGGCCTTGGTTACATCATGTACGCTTGAAAGGTTGCGCTTTTTTTTTTGCGCTTTGATTTGGCAAGGTGGCTTCTGCTTGTGCAGTTGGCAGTTTGATGTTGTATAAGCGGCATTTTGATTTGGTAGCTGTTTGGGCAACTGCAAGCGGCATTTTGAATTGGTAGCCGTTTGGGCGAGTAGCGGTTAACTTGCACATTATGTAAGAGTTGGACTTGCACTTGGTGCCCTTTTGGGTTTCCACTTGGTGTCCTTTTGGTTTCCACTTGGTGTCCTTTTGGTTTCCACTTGGTGTCCTTTTGGGTTCCACTTGGTGTCCTTTTGGTTTCCACTTGGTGTCCTTTTGGTTTCCACTTGGTGTCCTTTTGGTTTCCACTTGGTGTCCTTTTGGTTTTCACTTGGTGCCCTTTTGGGTTTCCACTTGGTGTCCTTTTGGTTTCCCCTTGGTGTCCTTTTGGTTTCCACTTGGTGTCCTTTTGGTTTCCACTTGGTTGTCCTTTTGGTTTCCACTTGGTGTCCTTTTGGTTTCCACTTGGTGTCCTTTTGGTTTCCACTTGGTGTCCTTTTGGTTTCCACTTGGTGTCCTTTTTTGGTTTCCACTTGGTGTCCTTTTGGTTTCCACTTGGTGTCCTTTTGGTTTCCACTTGGTGTCCTTTTGGTTTCCACTTGGTGTCCTTTTGGTTTCCACTTGGTGTCCTTTTGGTTTCCACTTGTCCTTTTGGTTTCCACTTTTGGTTTTGGTGTCCTTTTGGTTTCCACTTGGTGTCCTTTTGGTTTCACTTTTGGTTTCCACTTGGTGTCCTTTTGGTTTCCACTTCCACTTGGTCCTTTTGGTTTTTGGTTTCCACTTGGTGTCCAACACTTGGTGTCCTTTTGGTTTCCACTTGGTGTCCTTTTGGTTTCCACTTGGTGTCCTTTTGGTTTCCACTTGGTGTCCTTTTGGTTTCCACTTGGTGTCCTTTTGGTTTCCACTTGGTGTCCTTTTGGTTTTTACTTGGTGTCCTTTTGGGTTTCCACTTGGTGTCCTTTTGGTTTCCACTTGGTGTCCTTTTGGTTTCCACTTGGTGTCCATTTGGCTTCCACTTGGTGTCCTTTTGGTTTCCACTTGGTGTCCTTTTGGTTTCCACTTGGTGTCCTTTTGGTTTCCACTTGGTGTCCTTTTGGTTTCCACTTGGTGTCCTTTTGATTTCCACTTGGTGTCCTTTTGGTTTCAACTTGGTGTCCTTTTGATTTCCACTTGGTGTCCTTTTGGTTTCAACTTGGTGTCCTTTTAGTTTCCACTTGGTGTCCTGTTGGGTTTCCACTTGGTGTCCTTTTGGTTTCCACTTGGTGTCCTTTTGGTTTCCACTTGGTGTCCTTTTGGTTTCCACTTGGTGTCCTTTTGGTTTCCACTTGGTGTCCTTTTGATTTCCACTTGGTGTCCTTTTGGGTTTCCGCTTGGTGTCCTTTTGATTTCCACTTGGTGTCCTTTTAGTTTGCACTTGGTGTCCTTTTGGGTTTCCACTTGGTGTCCTTTTGGTTTCCACTTGGTGTCCTTTTGGTTTCCCCTTGGTGTCCTTTTGGTGTCCACTTGGTGTCCTTTTGGTTTCCACTTGGTGTCCTTTTGGTGTCCACTTGGTGTCCTTTTGGTTTCCCTAGAAAAGCATCCAAAAAAGGGCGCCCCTCAACAAAAACGCCTTGTGTGTGCCAGCACGTTGGGTGCCACTACACTCTTCCCATTTCGCAGCAAGGCTCCCGGTTCAAAAGAAAGACCTGAAAAGAAATCTGTCTCAAGCAAAAACATACTCCCAGGTCAGCGAGGTCTTTTGCTGATCTCCATGCAACCCGGGGCCAGGAGATTCGTCTACCTTCTTCCCCTGTCTTGACAAATTGGATGGGAAAGAGTTGCCGTCTTTTCTTGAGTACCCTTTTTGGGATGGCAAAGGGAAACCAAAGCAAGAGAACCCACCCAGAATCAAGTCTTCAGAGCGAAACCATCCCAAAGCCCCGGCAGTGGTACCGCCCCCGTGCCTCCCTTCCCGTCCTTTGGCTGCGTGCTCAACTGCGGTCCATCCCCAAGGTCCTGGGGCGACTGCGTCGAGTTCAAGCACAGTAAACCGCCCTTGGTTGAGAAGATTGAGAAGTCAGTGCCACGTTGAGTGTTGGGACCCTCACCAGACACCGGAACTGTGGCAACGGGAACCTCCAATCTCTCCGTATTTCTTTGCTTCCGCTTCGGCAGAAACACGAATCGCTTGCAAACATCATAAAACATATTGCCATTAAAAGTGCAATCGTGTGTGTGTGTGACTTGCCAACAAACCATGCAGCATCAACAAGCCCGAAGCTAGTGCTGACACACACGCATGCCGAATACATCAGAACTTGCATGAATGCAAAGGACTTCCTGCTCAAGTAACGGAGCCTACTATCCTGCAAGCTCCGGGCAAATTGTGCCGGATGTCACAAACATAACCATCCAAACACGGAATCAGTGTGCGTGTGTGTGTGTGTGCGCTTGCAAATGCTGTGTAAAAGTAGGTGTGCCTTGCAGATTTGCAAGCAGCATCATGAGCAAAGAAACCATCAGTGCCGGCAAACAACACAAAACAAGCAAGTGGCCTGAAATTAGGCGGACATCGCGTTTGGAGGCGCAAATTGCAAAGAACCCATGTGATGCCCAGTGGGCGTTCTAGATTCCTCTAAACAAAGATAATGAACAGCCCCGCACAAGTCAATGCAACATTCAGCCAGAAGCCTCGTGAAATACGCATTTGCGTTCTGGCACTCAGCATGGATCTTCGGTTGCATAGTTGCCAATCGGAAGAGTTCCACAGAACATTTCAGTAGGCCACCACCATCAGCACCAAAAAAACATCATTCCCCACCCCGCCAAATCCCCGACCCGCCCCACCCATATGCAAGCAAGCTACACCAATATTCCCGGACCCACTTTTGAGGGGAAACCCAAAGGAAAGCCGAAATTTGGGGGGAGTTCCGACCGTTAAAAAAGACACACGAACATGCAATTGCATCCGAGTCCGTCTGCAGGTAGGGGATCACCGGCACGGTGTAGACTGGCAGGTTGGCCCTCCAGCCAACCAGGTCTCAGCTCGAACCGCTGCGCAACCGAAGAAACCAACCGCAAAATGCCTCGTCTCGTTTAGGACCCCTGGCGCGACAGTTTTGGGTTTCTCGTTACCAACAAAAAAAGAGGTACACTCAAAAAGTGAAGCGACAATGAGCTTGGCGTGCAATCCTTGTTCTGCTCGCTAACCTGAGAACAAACGTGGCCTGTGAGAGTGTTTGCTCTGTGCAAGTCTGTGTGAGTGGGGTCTCAGTGCTCTCTGTTCTCGCTGCGTGAGCTGTGTAGGTGTGTTCGGGGTATTGTGTGTGTGTGTGCGCTTGGGTGATCTGCAAATCCTGCCACGAAATGCGGCCTCAAGCCTTCGTTGTGCAAGTCTGCCCTGCGCGCAAGTGCTGACTCTGTGACAATGCAAAACCTTTGTGATAAGAAGCTATAGCTTTTGCCGTGACGGTCCTTGACAGCGTGCTTACAGTACTGATGCAGCGCTTGTCCATCGAATCCACACTAGAACTGGGCCAGCCCTAAAACACCATGGCTAATCAAGCCAAGTTGCCTTTCAATCTCACGGTCAAACCACCTGACACCAACCATGTCAGTGCTGACCGGCCAAAGAATCCACCAACTGAAGCGACAAGCGACTGGGACGGTCCGGACATGTCTGTCTTGGCGAGCAATTCAGCTGCCACAGTTTGAAAGCAGATCTCAGAAGGCAAGATATAAGTAGTAACGCTGTCAACCTCTCGGCGAATAAAAAGCGGGAATTGCCAGGAGACAGGAAAGGGCCCAAGGATTGTGCAAAAAGGAAGGCAGGTAACAAGGAACAAATGCGCGCAAAGGCCAACGAATAGTGGAGGGATATTAAAGAAGGAGCGGGCAAAATGCTGAACACACAAACTGCAAATGGCAAAGCTTAAAACACCTAAAAGGGAACCGAAAAAAGAGGAGGAAGCGTAACAGCAAACATGCAAAAGTGGAAGGAATTGTAGTGATGCTCATGCGATTCTACCACTGCAAGCGTCCGCTGTCATGGCAGCACCCATCTCCGGCCTTCATTATCCCATTGCACCTGCCAAGCAGCGTCGAATCTTTGTCTTCAGCGCTAATTCATTAGTACAATACAAGCCTGGAATAAGTTGCGCAACGTGTCCCCAGCCGCATTTCCATTTGCATTGGGGGATTGACTCGATAAGAATTTGTACACAAATGATCCGTTGTTTCTGCTGTTGGATCAATACGGCCAAGCATGCCCATGGGTGGCTACCTTTGTTTCCAGTGATTCTGGCTGCTGCTCACATGGGCCTCACCCTCTTCGGAGCTGTCAAACCTCCGGAGGTGGCCAATCCACCAGACGTGGAAGGCCAAATCATGAAGTCGAGCAATGCAATCTCACACAAGTGGACAGGCCAAAGGTCTGGCAGGTAAATAAGCCGTATTTCAGCAGATACTGTACCAAACGTGGAATGCCTGTTACAGCTGTAAGCCACATCCTGTCACATGCTATCACGCGCTGTCACATGCTGCGCACTTTTACGTATACGCTCGTTCCGCGCGCACGTCCCAAAAGGTGGGGCGCGCACTCGTTGCTGTGTGTCTACATGCTTGCATGCCAGCCTGCCTGCGCACATGTGTGCCCGTGCGCTCGTGGATCCGTACACATGCATGCGTCGGTACATACATCCATGCGTGCGTGCGTGTGTGTGGACGGGCGGGCGGGCGCGAGGACGTGATGCGCGTGATGCGCGTGATGCGCGTAATGCGCCTGATGTGCCTGATGCGCCTGATGTGCCTGATGTGCCTGATGTGCCTGATGTGCCTGATGCGCCTGATGTGCCTCATGTGTGTGTGTGTGTGTGTGATGTGTATGCATGTCATGTATGTGTGTGTGTGGAATATGTGTGTGTGTGTGTGATGTGTCATGTGTCAGTGTGTGATGTGTGCGATGTGTGTGATGCGCCTGATGTGCGTAATGTGTGGGTGTGTGTGGTGTGTGTGGGGTGTATGTGTGTTTTGTGTGTGTGTGTGGTGTGTCTGTGTGGGGTGTGTGGGGTGTGTGTGTGTGGTGTGTGGTGTGTGTGGTGTGTGTGTGGGTGGTGTGTGTAGTGTGCGTGGTGTGTGTGTGTGGTGCGTGTGGTGTGTGTGTGTGGTGTGTGTGTGTGTGTATGTGTGTGTGTGTCTGTGTCTGTGTCTGCGTATGTGTCTGTGTCTGTGTCTGTGTCTGTGTTTGTGTCTGTGTCTGTGTCTGTGTCTGTGTTTGTGTCTGTGTCTCTGTCTCTGCCTGCGTCTGTGTCTGCACCTGTGTGTGTGACATGTGTGCATGATGTGTGTGTGAGGTGTATGTGCATGATGTGTGTGTGTGTGCGTGATGTGTGTGTGCGTGTGTAATGTGTGGGTGAGGTGTATTTGCATGATGTGTGTGTGTGCGTGATGCGTGTGTGTGTCATGTGCGCGTGATGCGTGTGCGTGTGTAATGTGTGGGTGAGGTGTGTGTGTGTGTGTGTGCATGACGCGTGTGCGTGATGCGTGCGCGTGTGTGCGTGTGTGTGTGTGTGTGCGGAGCGACAGATGCGCCCTGTCGCCACCTTTTTCCAATTCTCAGCAGGGGGACCAGGCGTCTTGCTGCTGACCTGGTCTAACAAAGCTAGGCAGCAAGACGGGATACCGGAGTTGGCCACTCCTGCGTACCTGCCTTCCGTGATTCTGAATGTCTATTTGGCCCCTTGGTTGCGGCGCTGTTATGCTTCTTGTTATTTCTGGTAACGTGTTCGCTGCTAGACGGAAACCAAGCGACTGTGAGCCGAAAATCCACGCACTCGAGACTCATCAGTTGCACTCGAAGGATTAGCACTCTCCCTCGGGAGTTGAAGTGCGATCACCCCATCTTGGGGGAACCTCGGGTGCACCCATCGTGTGACCCCGGGCCGGTTCGCCGGAAAATTTGACCTCAACATTCTTATCATAGCTCTGCGGAATTTCACGTGTAAGCAGGAACGAGGTTTCACTAAAAGGAAGATAGCCACCAGATCATAGGTACGTCTCACCTTTTCTCGCCTTCGTCTTCCGCGTGTCCGTCTTCTGGTTCTTCGCCCGTCTAGGGATGGCTTCTCCTCCCCCCCGTTCTCTTCTTGCTGCCTTTCGTGATCCGCGCGTTCGTCCTCTTCCTCTTCGCCCGCTTAGGGATGGCCTGGTTGTCCTCGCGTCGTTCACCTTTCTCCTCGTCTTCGTCCTCTTGTACGTCTACCTGTTCCTACTCCTCGTCTTCCTCACGTAGTTTGGCTTGACGTCTTCTTCCCCTTCCGTTGCTATTTCGTGTCCGTCCTCTTGGCCCCCGTGTGGGATTCGACGTCTTCCTCCTCGAGCCTTGGTCTTCATCCTCTGTTCCTGTCTGGGCGGGATGCGTCGCCCTAAAAACGCATACTACATCCCTCTTCCTCTTCCTTCCTCCTTCTTCCTTCTTTTCTCCTTTTGTCTCCTTGTCTTCTGCTTCTTTTCTTTGCTTCTTTTCTCCTCTCTCCTCTCCCCGGGCGGGCTGCGGCGCCCTAAATACGCAACTCGCACCCTTTGTCTTCTTTCTCTCTTTCTTCTTCTTCTCTTTCCCTTTCGTTCCTCTCTCCTTTCCCCGGGCGGCTGCGGCGCCCTAAATACGCATCTCGCCCCCTTTTCTCTTCTTTTTCTCTCTTTCTCGCTCTCTCTTTCTTTCTTTCCTTCTTTTTCTCCTCCCCCTTTTCCAACTACTTCCTGTTGTTCCTCTTCGCCCGTTTAGGGATGGCGTGTTCGTGGTGTCGGTCTTCAACTTCGCGGTGCTCTTTTTCTACCAGGTTTAGGAGGGTTTCTGGGCTGTTTGGGGTTCTTTGCCCTTGGCGGTGACCCTAAACTCGGGTTCCCCTGTTTTTCGTGTTTCTTGGTTGGGTTTTGCCCGCGGAGACCCAACGTGGGGCCTTTCTGGTTCTTTTGTTTTCCTGCTCTGTTTGTTTTCTGTTGGGGTCTTCGCCCGGTTT